GCTCTGTGTGCTTGGTCCTATCATGATAAACAAGATTTTGGCAATACTTATAATAGCCTTATTGTCACAAAACAGTGTCATAGATGTTGTTTGAACTTTTAATTCTCCAAGTAACCTCATCAGCCAAATTCCTTCACAAATACCATGGGACATTGCTCTAAACTCAGCATTAACACTATTCCTAGATACAACAACTTGTTTTTTACTTCTCCAATTGACCAAAATTTTCCAAACATAAGTGCAATATCCAATAATGGACCTTTTATCTATTACTGATCCAGCCCAATCAGCATCTATGTACACCTTGACTGCCTCATACATTGACTTCTTAAACTATAGCCCTTCACCAAGACTCTTCTTTAAGTACTGTAAGATGTGATAAACAACCTTAAGATGCCCCTTGGTTGGATTATTCATGTATCTACTCACCATCCTTACTGCAAACCCAATATCAGGTCATGTGTGGGAGAAGTAAATAAGCTTCTCAACTAGTATTTGGTATCACCCTTTGTCAGTAAGAGAGCTTCCATTTTCACTTCCAATTTTATTAGTTGAGTGCATGGGTGTATCGGCAAGTTTGCATCCAATCATGCTGGTTTCTTTGAGTAGATCAAGTACATACTTATGCTGAGACACTAATATTCCATTCTTAGACAGAGCCACTTCCATCCCAAGGAAATATTTAAGGAACCCCAAGTCCTTTATTTCAAACTCCTTTGCAAGGAGTTTCTTCAATTCATCTATTCCTTCCTTATGGTCTCCGGTGATTATGATATCATCCACATAAACAATAAAAATAACTCTTTTTCCATCATTAGTGAACTTAACAAACATAGTATGGTCAAATTGACATTAAAAGAATCCATACCTCTTCATTGCCTTGGTCAACAGTTCAAACCAAGCCCGAGGAGACTGTTTAAGTGCATACAAAAATTTTCGAAGTTTGCACACTTTGCCCATGTTGTCTTGCCTTTCGAAACCATGGGGAATTTCCATGTAGACATCCTCCTCCAAGTCAGCATTTAAAAATGCATTCTTGATATCAAATTGGTGGAGAGGCCAATCCAAGTTGGCTACTAGTAACAATGGAACTCTAATTGAATTGTGTTTGGCTATCAAAGCAAATGTCTCCTCAATCTATCCCATAGGGTTGAGTGAAACCCTTTGCAACAAGTCTACCTTTAAACCTATTTATACTTCCATCTATATTGTGCTTTATTGTGAAGATCCACTTATATCCAATAAGGGTTTTACCTTTGGACAAATCTGAAATTTCCCATATCCTATTTTTCTCTAGTGCCTTAATTTCTTCAAGAACTACTGCCTTCCAATCTGGTTCATTGAGGGCTTCCTGAATATTTTTTGGAATTTGCACATTGTCAAAGTTAGTAGTAAAGGCTCAAAAGTTTGGATTTAACCTGTCATATGAGATGTACTTGCAAATAGAGTACCGGGTGCATGATCTCACACCTTTTCTTAATGCAATAAGAATGTCAAAGTCACAAGTTGGCTCACAAGTTTCAGTTTCAATTTCAGATTCAATAGGGATATTACCTGTGTTGGTTTCAAGTTCTTGGAAACTCGGATCAGGTTGACTTTTAGTGCTGGGTTGTGTACAATTGTCCACTTCTTCCTATGGTTTTTGCTTCCTTGAGTAGACTATTAGTTCTTTTGTTTTTTCTTGCATAACCTTAGGGTTTGTAGAGTCAAGAGTTGTTTGAACAGGTTGGGTTTCAAAATCTGCATGGCTGATAGGTTGGGTAGGTTGAGACTCTAGTTTTGAAAGGGCTGGTTGAGATTCTAGTTTTGAAGGGGCTAGCTGGGAATATGGTTTTGAAGGGGTTGGTTGGGAAATTGGCAAGTCAATAGCTAAGAATTGATATTCTTGAGTATTATTCTCCCCCTGAATATCATTCTTGCTGTAGTATGGAAGATTCTTAAAGAGGTGACATCCATAAAGCCATCGAATTTTTTTGTGATGGGTGAATAACACTTATAGCCTTTTTGGTTTGGGGAATAACCAAAAAATATGCATTTTAAGGCTTTGGGATCAAGCTTGCTACAGTATTGTTAGCTAACATGAAAAAAGGCAATGCAACCAAAGAGTTTGATGGGAATGGAATAGATCAACCGAGTTTGTGGGTAGGAAGCAAGGAGAGTTTGAAAAGGTGTTTTAAAGCCAAGAACTCGAGAAGGCATTCGGTTAACCAAATAGGTTGCAGTGAAGAAAGTGTCTCCCCAAAAATATTTAGGCACATTAGAAGTCAACAAGAGGGATCTAGTTACTTCTATCAAATGTCTGTTTTTGCATTCGGCAACCCCATTTTGTTGTGGAGTGCTAAAGAAAGAACTTTGATGGATAAAGCCATGATTGGTGAGGTAAGGGCCAAGAACAGAGTTGAAATATTCCCTTCTATTGTCAGTTTTTAGGACTTAGATTTTGGCTTGGAATTGGGTTTGCACCATGCTATTGAAGTTCTGAAAGATTTGGCTAACCTCGAGTTTTTCTTTTATAAGGAATACCCAAGTGAGTCGAGTATGATCATCAATGAATGTAACAAACCAACTAGAACCTATGACATTGTTAACTCTTGATGGTGCCCAAATGACACTGTGAATCATTAAGAAAGGCTGAGATGATTTATAGGAAAGGCTAGGGTAGGTATTTCGAGTGTGCTTGGAAAGTTGACAAATTTCACATTGAAAATCTTTAGAGATGTTATTGAATAATGAAGGAAATAGCCTTCTTAGGTATGAATTATTTGGATGTCCTAATCTATAATGCCATTACATGATAAGCTCATCCTTACTACTACTAGAGGCTAAGGCTATACAAGAGTTTTGGGTCTCTCAAGTGCATCATCTTGAAAAAGGTAGAGCCATGCACACATCCTAGCACTACCAATAATCTTCCCCAAGCCCAATTCTTGAAATTCACACAAGCTGGAAAAAAATTTAGTGACAAAACATCTATCCCTCGTAAGCTTACTAATGAAAAGTAGGTTACAGCTTAAATTAGGGACATGGAGGATAGAGTCAAGTGTTATGTCTTTCGAAACTACAACAAAACCTATTCCTGCCACTTTCGAAAAAGAGAGCCATCAGCAATTTTTACAGTATAATTATCGTAGCAAGGTCTATATGTGTTGAATAAGGATGCATCTCCAATCATATGATCTGATGCTCTTGAATCAACAATCCAAAATTGAGTATTTTACCGTTGAACACTTAAGGCGTTTAGGAAATTACCTTTTTGTGCTAGTAAACTAGTTCCAAAAGTTACAAACTTATTTTGAAAGGTTTGTTGGAGCATTACCTCTTTGTGACTTTCCTCATGCCATACCTCTATAGAAGAAGAGTTCTCACTCCTACTAGCCATAATAGAAACTCATGTGGTTACAGTCTAATGGTTCAGGCCAACTTGCTCTAATACCATATAGAAAACTTAAAGAACATTTGTCCTTATTTCTTCTTATTCAATCTACAATGAACGAGTACATCAAAATAAATAGGAACAACGAAGTTCCTTATTAGGAAACAACTTACATGAAACAAAAAATAAAAAATAATAAAAGGAAGGAAAATTATTCTACTCTAGAATATAAACAAATCCCTAAAAACTTCACAATCAAAATAGTTGACTAAATCATAAGAGAAAATGAGAAATATTTCCAAAATAAATTAAAAAATCAAGCTGCACTAATGTAGGAGAATCAGATTTCTACATTAAAAAAAAAAAAAAAAAAACTATTTGTATTTTACACGAGAACTATTGTTTTATTAATAAACACTAAAGAAATTTCAACGCTACGATCAATTCACTTATGCTAAGCACACAGACAATATATGCCCCACTTTGTTTGCTTGAATTATTGTCCTCAAAGAAACAAAAACAATTAACTTAAACCCCATTATCCAAAGGCTCAGGCTGAGCACCTGGGCAGCAATATCTATCTCACGTTGTTGCATGGAAATTTTATCTGAAGCAAGGAAATCAAACACTCCAAAACTTAATATGTGTGCTTCTAGCAATCTTACCAACCAATTTTTTTGCAACTTGGCCATATTATAAAACAGAAATAGAAAATCTAACTCCTTGAGCTAAAATTTCAAACATCATTCATTCAATTTCTGCAATAGATAATTTTTAAGAAATAAGACATATTCTCATACTGTTTTACACATTATGAAAATAATAGCTGAACATCTCTCCCAAAACAGATAGGTCTTCAAACTGTTCCCAACTGCCAAATAGCTGAACCAGCATGGTTCTCCCTTGCAATTTGATTAAATCATGCAATCCCCAAGAAGAGATATAGGATAGAAACAGTCTGTATGGATACCCAAGAAAGACCAGAAAGAACCTATTTAGCTCATCAGTAATGAGGCAAAATAATGGTCTGACTTCTATGAATAAAAGACGGATTTAATTCCTGACGTACTTCTCCTTCTCATATTGCATGAGTAACAAACCCAGCCTTTTTTTTTTTTTTTAATCTTTTTGGTCCATATAAAGCCAACCATTCTCTTCTTTCTCACATGTAAGACAGTTACAAACCAATAAATAACAAGGCAAAACCCATGAGTCTAATAATAATAAAATCCAATTACACAAAAGGTCAATATTTTGAAAACCATTTTAAAAATAAGATCTAAACCGATTGCCTTCATTTGATTACTCAAATAGTATTGCACAAATTTAAAAGGCTAATCTTCTGAACTTCAGGAGGAAGTCAACCAGCTCTGTTCACAATATTATCAGGTAGCTTTCAGGTTTTCAATATAGTGAAGTAAAACATGAAAAGAGAATTAGAAACTCACTTAGGAAAACTGCATCAGTTTCATACGAAACTTTGATGCAACACCCTTTTTTCTGATGTGTAAATCAAACAATAAATAACATAACTACATCACATGTTAATTCAGACCATGACCAACCATGAAAGAACAATTTGCCAAAATTCAGTCAACAAGAATACAAGAAAAGTTTTAAAACATGCCTTTTCAGGACGATCAAACTTTCGCAGCTCCTTTTCAATTAAATTTGCCATAGCTTTTATATATCCTTCACGTTGATACCAAGAAGGTATGACTGTATGCTGCATGTTCACTAGATATTCATCGTCACTGATGAAACAAATGATTACATTGTCAGAGGAAGAAAATTGATTTAAGATTATACTGCAAGATTACATCAAACAATGCAAGAAAAGTGCCTTTATTCCTCACCGAAATATACTTTCCAAGAGTCGAAGGCTTGAACCACTAGTTGATATTGAAAATTGTGGATAAAGTGGAAGTACAACAAGCTTTGTTATTCCATCTCTTTTAATCTACATTTTTGTTAGGAGGAACGTAAAAATAAGAATATATCACCAGAACCCACATTCAAATAAAGGAAGGTGGAGAAAAAAGAAAGATTATTTTTTATAGTAGATTGATGCATTGACAGGCAACCCGGATAGACAGCAGAACTACCAAAAGAAACTAGCAGATTATTACAAGTAATTCCACAATGGAAACCAAGAGGAGCAATATTATCTGTGAAAAAGTGGACCCATTTTTAAGAATAGAAGACAACAAGCAGTAACCCAACTTGAAGTCAGTTGAATCCAATCATACAGAGTAGCTATCCAGTAGCAACCCATAAATTCAGAAAGCAAGCAATAAAACTTATAATGTGCACATTAAACAATAACTTACAGTTGAAACATTACAACAGTTAAACAACACTTTGGTAATTTCACTTATTTCTGCATCATGAAAAGTATTAAAGAAATTTCAAATCCAATCAAGTTTGAATAAAATTTATTTCAGAACCTTCCAAAAGGTAAAGTAATATCTTCATCAAATAAGTTCAAATGATTTCGAATCAGAGGCTAAAGTTAACTGCTTCAAGAGGCGTATAGCAGCAACATATACACCATCCTTTAGTCCTCAGAATACAAGCAAGCAAACACACACAAGGACACATGCAGATACTCCATCCTAAAATAACAGTCCACATTAACTTTTCACAAAACATCCAATAATTACTTTTCACTGTTCCATTTTGCTTTTTTGTCTCTTATTGTAGTTACTGGATCTAATTAAATGCACTCATTTTCAAAGATACATAATATTGGAATATTAGCAGGTGGCAATAGACAGAAGAACATCCACAGCTAGTTTTCTGAAATGTGTTAATCAAATATGAACTGTCAAACATTAATTTTGGATACCAAAGAATATCAACATGCCATATTGAGGATCTAGGAAGAGCATTCAAATTTCCAAAGATCCCTCCCATTGTTTATTTTAACAACTCAAAAAAAAAAAAAAAAAGAAAAGAAAAACCTGATGGATAAGATTTTGATTGTAAATTACCATCAGAATGAAGTTCTACCAAGTACAAGGTTTCATACATCCTTGACATGCTCATGTATGATAAACATAAAGCATTGTTAAGAAAGGAAATAACATCAATTAATAAAACAAAAAAGGCAGCCGCATTAGAATTTCAAACAGTCAAGCAAAAATAAGACCAATACCAACCAAATACCTGCTCAATAGCTTCTTCAGTGAATGGATGCCAGTAACGCATACCAACATAGACTTTTGCAGGGACATTCTTTGCCCAAAGTGACTTTCTCAACTCTTCAGCCTGAAATGGGTAATGATAGGACAATAAAAATTATAGACAGACAAACTATGTTGCTCTAACTCTTCATTTCTCTGAATTACCTGTGTCTGACACATATCCAGACAGGAGTACGGAGGGTTGACCCTCCAAATATAAAAAAAAAAAAAAAAAAAAAAACTTAGAAAAAAATCGAGCATACCCTTGTTGGACATACACCAGTAAGTATCCAACAGTCACCCTCGAGTCCGGGCAACATAGCTGACGAAAGAAATACTAACATGTACATAAGCTACATATTCAGTTTTGATAGCCAAGGAGTCATCCAAACCATCAGCCAAAACAATGCCAATTATTTATCTGCTCTTTGAAATCTTAATTAAATTGGTGGCAAAAGTTAAACCATAAACAAAATAAACTCATAAATAACAATTAATCAATTTCTACAATTTTGACTCATTGATTTTTGCAGTTGCACATAGAAAAGAATATATTTTAAAAAATTTTAAAAATTAATTGGTTGCCACAGTGAAAAGTCAAATCTAGAAGCATTACCCTCTAGGTTGATAACTGGCATTACCAGTTCCAACATTTAATTAATTTCACTTGCTTGTTTCTATCAACTTTTGCCTCAAAGTTGCAAGAGCAAGGATACAGGCCTCCAACAGAACTTATTTGAGGGGAAAAAAGAATAAAATATTACCACTAAAGGTAACACCAGCTAACAGCAACAAAAAATAAGCAAAAAGTGAATGTTTACAGCACATGTTTGCGCATGGCCACACACTCAAACGTGTAAAAATTCATTCATAATAGTTTGGGCACAATTTTAATTTTTCTCTTCCACATTACTTAATCAGCATGATAGCGAACTGAAAATGGTAGGTTTTATAACATATAAATATGTCCATCAGAAACTCTAATGATAACAAAAACAATCATGCCTGATCATTAGTTATTTGTCGAAGAGGAGAACCACCACCAATTGAAGCATAACCTTCCTTGCTCTTGGGTGCTCTAACAACAGAGATAAACTGTGCCAAGGGCTTTTGCAAAAAACGAAACAACCTTGGTAACCGTATAATATCCTGTCCAATTAGATGATTAACATAATAAAACAGAAAGGAATACAAAAATTATCGTAGTAACTTGATGCAGGGACAAAAAGGAATTCAATTCTTTTGGAGGTTTTGGATTTTTTTTATTTAAGCAGAAGCATATAATAATACATGGACATAGCTAAGGGTTATTATTAGATGCTATTAGGGTCTCAGAGCGTGTAAATAGAGGTTATGAGATAACTGTATTAGACCCTTTTCTACTTTTTATCAAAAGGAATTAATCTTTGGCTTTTCAAGTTCTTCTAAGAACTGAGGTTGTACTTGATTTACTACACCAACCATGTTTCCCTCTAAGAAACCACAGCTTGTTGGATCATCATGATCTCAATCGCACAGCAAAAAGTATAAGTACGTCTTGAAACAAAGGATTTATATATTAACGAGACAAGCTAATTGTTAAGTATTGTTATGCCACATAGGATTTGTTGCGGCTATATATTCAGGTTGGATCTCTCCACTATTGCCAATTGATCTTAGGTAGGATACTTAGCATGGTGATAAAGCCCAAGTTGTTTGCTAGTATTTTTTTTTTTTTAGTATAATTATGTTTGTTTCCATGATCTCATGGTTCACATAACAAGCTCAAGTTGTCTCAATGGTCAGTATTAGAGCAACCAAGCAAGGCCTAAGTGATGGTATTCCATAGAAGAAACTGCTGAAGTTGTTGTGTTCGCATATTGAAGATGAGTCATAAATCAGAAAAGAAAGCAAAAGAATGTAACCAACCGGGTCGGCGAAAAGGTTAAACAAGAAGGGCTGCACATCTTCAAGAGTCTCGGGACCTCCAAGGTTCAACAACAACACTCCAATCTTTTCATCGGCAATAAGAGTCCCAGTGGAGATACCTTGGGTGTTTGAAGTCACCAAAGCTCCCACGCCCACGCTCAACAACTGTTTGTAATTCGATTGTTTAGAAAATGAAAATTGAGTCTGAGACCACCCAGAGGAATACCTTGGAACTAGGCAATTTCTCGACACCCTTTGAGAAAGAGAAAGAGCTCCAGGCGACAGCCTATCAAAGCAAACGATTAAGGGAAAAGACAAACAAAGAAAGAAAACCCATTAAAGTTGATACGAAAAGGACATACAGAAGAGGGAACTTGCAATGGCGAGAGGCAGAGGAGAGGCATGGAGGATGAGGAAATGTGGATGATGATGATGCTGAACACGAAGTGCAGCTCTGAATTCTACCACTTCTCATTGCTTTTTAATAACTTGTAACAAGTCTCTCTTACTCAAAGTGAAACGCCAAATCCCTAAAAACAAAAATAGCACTGACCAAGCCAAGATGAAAGCAAAAGAGTGCTGCAAAATCTCTTTCTTTCTTTAACAAATAATAATTATGCTTTGTTTTCCATGTTTATGGGAAAGAAAAAGAAAGAAAAGAAAAACAAAGAAGGGAAGGTAGGGTATGACAGCGACACATGAGAACTGTATAAAACCACCATTGCGTTTAATATTTTCTATCCTCCTCTATCTTTTCCATCCTTTTTATTCACTACCACCTACCATTTTTTTTATTTTTATCAATCTTGCCATCTCTGTTTTTTTTTCTTCTTTTTCTACAAAAACTAAAATATTAAAAATTAAGAGTTTATTTAAATTAAAGATTAAAATTTTATTTAAAATTAAAGCAAACGAATTTATTTAAGTAAAATGTGAAATTCAATAATTTTTTTATTATTTTGGAAAAAAATAATACCTTTTTACTTGTTTTTTCGATTTTATGTTTTTTTGAAAAAATTCGTTTTAATATTTAAAATATAGTAAAAGATTTTATTATTTTATTTAAAATGAAATTATATATTTTTAATTAAATCTATGATTGAAATTTAATAATTTTAAATTAAACATAAAAAATTAAAATTTAATTAGAAAGATAAAAAATATTTGAATAAATATTAACCTTAGATTTAATTGAAAATTTACTTATCACCCTTAAATTATCACCCTTGAATAAAATAATAAAAGTTTTTCATTATTTTTTAAATAATGAAGAGGATTTTTTTCATGTGTTTTTTGATAAATTTTTTCTTTTGATTTTATTTTAAGCTGTTAACATATGTAAAGTACTAAGGGTTTGATTAGAGATGATAATGGGTAGAATATGGAAAGGTAGAACATTCCTCTCATCTTCATCCTCATTCTTAAATTTTTATATTATATCTATTTTTGTACTCATGCCCAATGAGTATTTTAAATTTATGTTCATTTCCATCCTTGTAGATATTCAATGGGTATAGATAATCTTTGTACCTGTAACTTTGTAAAAAAAATAAAAACTAAAATTTATTTTTTTAGCTTTTTTTTTATTTTGTATATTTAAATATTTTTTATAAATATATATTAATATATTTTTTAATAAAAATATATTAATTATAATTAATCTAAAATAATAATTTATATTATTTAATAAAAATTATCTACTAAATATATATAAATATATATATGTAGAGTATGTATACAAAGCAGGTATTATATTATTCGTCCCCATCTCCGTAACCAATAAAAATTTAAAATCATATCCATCTCCATCTCCATTCAAGTAAAATTAATATCCCTAAATTTAATGAAAGAAACAAAATTAATACATAACGTAAGGTTGCTTCTATAAATTTAAATTAAAAAAAGCTATTTAAATTTAAATTTTAATAAATAAGTGAGTAATAATGTTCCTGAAATTTTCACTTTTTTATTATATCTAAAAATATGAATTTGTGAAATTTTTTTGTTTAACTAAAAATTCAGAATAAAGTTTTCTATTTATACGCTCTTAACATAAATATTAATTAATTTTTAGATAATACTATAATTTTGTCCCCGCAATACTAAGGCTAAGGTTCTCAATTAATTTTTTTAGCCATTTATATATCTACAAATTATTTTATTCTAAAAATGTAAAATATGAATCCATATGGAAAATATAATAAATATATTAAAATAAAACAAATTAAATCTAATATTTTACATATTCTATAAATTTTCATTATGTGATTTTCATATTATGTTACGAGCATTAAAATTTTCATACATTTCAAACTATAAATTATTTGATCAAATATGTTAGATTAATTATAGATAATAATCCAAGATGGATGAATTGGATTGTTTTCAAGTTTTTCTAAAATTAAATTTCAATAAGTACAACTAAAAGAATGATAATATAAAAATTATGTATTAACATTTAAATACAAATGAATTTAAAATTTGTACATATTTGATTTTGACTACTAATATTTAATTCCTTTAAATTTATTTTTAAAGTTGCTAAAGTAGAAGTTAAGTTAAAACATGTAACAAAGTTGTTTCACCGAAGGTTGTTGTACATAATAACTCTACTAAAGTTTGCTTCACTGGAATAACACTTATTCACAACACAGTATCTTCATGGAACATCACTTTCATGGAACAGTACTGGTATCATATATTCAAAACTCTATTAGCATAAGTTTTTTTATTATGAATTACATTATAAAATATGCTTAACCAAATGTTACTTAATTGAAAAAAGTGAAAATAATTTCGAAATATAACAAGATTCTTAGGCTAACTTTACTATTGGGACATTTTGAAAAGATTGGCTTGATGGATCAATATGAAAATATTTAAGTGATCTTCTTTTAACCATTTTATAAAGTATAAATGTTTCTCATTTTCCTTTAGAACAAAAAGTAGATTTTTTGTATCATCATAAGCTAAACTTTAATTAGATAAAACATTAATACTTTTTCTAACTATCAATTTTACCATTATTTCTATTTAATTCTTAAGATATGTAACTCATATTCTTAAAACTTATAAATAAGAGTTCTCACAACTTATTTTGAGACTTTTAGACTTTCAGTAGATTCACGCAACCTTCTCTCACATTTTCTCTATAATTATTTTTTCCAAAATTGAATTTTCAATCTTATTTTCCTCCTTACTCAACTTTACTTCACCTCTACTATCACCTATCGCTTCATTCAATACTTCAAGGTATGCTCTAGCCTTCTTTTTTATTATCTCTCAGTACATTATGTTTTAGTTATTTATAATATTTTCTTTTCTTACCAAAGAACCCCCTTTACTTTTTGGTGACTTTACTAAAAATGAGTGATTACATTAAGTAGAACATTTTTTGCTTTTACTTTGTCAAAAAAATGAAAAATTCTATTGGAAATCAAAATGTTCACATCCTAACATATATCTAGGAACTAATGAAAATGATTTAAAATTCTTAAGAAATGATGCAAAGGTTGGATGAAACTATCTCCCAACTTACATTTTCCAATTCCATAACCGTTTAAGTCCAACCTGTTATTAATGGGAATGGGAACACTCCAAATGGAGTTATTGCTCTAACAAATTAGAATGGAGAAAACACTTCTTAATGTGCCTAATCCTAGTCTTAATGAAAATCTTATTGTGAATGACACCCTAATTGCTAATATTTCTACCGTGACTTCTCTTTTGACAATGATATAAGGCTTTGTCATGAAAGATGAGCTTTAAAAGTTACTTAAGAAGAATAAAAAAAGCTTACGCTTTTTTAGTTTAATCTCAAATTACCTTATCTAGCTATTATGGCTACTAAGGCATATCTTAAGGACTACATTAGTCCTACGCTTAAACAATTCAATGGCAAGATCAAGGATGCCCATGATCATGTCATGAAGTTTGTGAAAACTATGGGAGTAGCTAGATCAGATGATAATTTAAAGTTGAAAGAATTCTCCAAGTCTCTCATTGAAAAGGCATACACTTGGTATGTTAATCTAACACCTAGCTCTATAAAATCTTGAAGTTAGATGTGTAGAATGTTTGAAAAAAATTATTTTCGTACCAAAAAGAAGCTTACTCTAATTGACTTAAGAAAAGAATATCAAAAGTTAAAGAAAGATTTAGGGTAAAGTGTTAAGATACCTAAGATTCCCATAATGAGAAGAAGCTTATGAAAATATGTATTTAAAAAATGTTTGATGAATATAAGATGCATTTAGAGAAACTACCATTTCTAACCTATACTATTTTGGTTGAAACTACATGAATAACCAATAACATGATTCTTACATAAAAAGAAGTTAATCGTTTCACTCGCAAGAATATTTTTATAGTGAGTGCAATTAAAAAAAAGGTAAAAAAAATAAAATAACCTTAATGTCCGAATATGCCCCTTAGAAAAGATGACTCCACCATTCTCAATTCCAATAAATAGAATAAAAGCACTTCTCCAATAATAGATCATAGATAGAAATGTGAACCTACCATATGTTCTATGGCCATTAACAATAGAAAAGCTAATGAAAGGTATTGTGATTATCACCAAGTAGTTGATCACCTATTTGTTGAATATAAGAACTTTCATAAGATATTTCATAGAGAATACAAGAAAAGAAAAGTGTTGATTGAAATAATGGAGTTCAAAATAATCCACTCCCAGCTTATTAAAATCTTGAAGGCATGTGAATGCAATCATTCATACTTATCGTAATAGAAGTTTAATCGGTTAGTCTTTATCATGTTGGAATTATGCTTAATTCCAACATGTTCTTATTTGTTAAAAAAAAAATCAATTAAGATACAAGTTTGATAAATTAATTTGGTCATTATGTTGAATCCATTTTTAGCTACCAAATTTAACAATTCATGCTTTAAATCAAAACTTTACTTAGTAAAAAGTTAAAAAAATCTCTAATAATTCTATTATTGTATAAAATTATCATAGCTTTTTAGGTTTCTTTGTGATGAATTATTTCTTGATCCTTGAGAAATTATGGCAAAAATATTCTTAATTGTGTAAATATTCAATTTACAAGTGAAATATGAAACAAATGGAAAAATAATGATTTAAAGTCAAATTGGTAGCATTTTGGTGCCAATTCAACCATTTAGTTGAACCTATTGCAATCCTTATCCAAATAACTTTTGGGAGAATTTTTTAAATTTTTTTCTCAATTCTTTCTTTGTATTTTGAACTTAATTGAACTTCATTTCAAGTCTTAATCTTTATAATTTTTATGCTTGTTTTTCTTTTCTTGCTTATTAAAGTGTTTACCACATTTGAAGAAAACTTTCATAAGTTTAAGAAGGAAGATAAACATAAGAGCAATTTTTAAAGTAATTTTTAGATCAATTTTATCGCTCATTCTTTGGCAGTAGCTTTATTGCTATCAAGTGAACTCCCTTGATACTAAGTTGAGAATTATCTCTAATGTATAAAATTAGAAATGAATTTTACTTCAACATTAGGTTTATCGATTATATTTTGGTTGAATTCCACTATTTATAGTTGCAACTTTATCATTTATATTTTGGTTGTGTTTTATTACTTACAATTGCAACTTTATCACTTATATTTTGGTTGTATCTTGTTTATATTTTACTACTTGTATTTCAACATAAGCTTTATCACTTATATTTTGATCAAGATTTATTGTTTATACATGCAAATCATACATTGATCGTAACTTTTACGTTTTCCAAAAGTATTGAATCAATCACTTAA